GCTGTTTTTTGTTAGGACTTTCTCGTGAAGAATCGTTATTGTTTTTGGTACTAAAGTTTACAATGGTACATTTTCAAAAATTTCACGAGCTTTCCGGGGGAGTGGCACCAAACCCATCGAATTTGGGGATGGGTTCTCCATATGTCCCTCTTCCACTACCACCCTCCCCTATTGTAGCTGTTCGAGAGAATTCAATTCTGAGACCCGTGACTAGAAGGCGAATCCTCTATTTTTTGTCTATTTCATGGCTTGGGGTTAGTTACCATCAAAGTCGTCAAGAACCGGTTAGACACGATTAACCGTGACCGCGACCTGTACAGCTTCTGCATATAGTAACCCTTTTCGACTTTTCGACTCTCGGCAACCCCTAATACGCCCCCCTCCCGCAACCCCAAGTGCGCCCCCTCCCCTTGGTACTTGTACCAAAGTACGACTAAGCCTGTACTGCAGTCATTTGACTGAGTCTCCCAGGCGAACCATGGCGAGTAGTACAATAGGCCGCACTGGAAGAATCCAAGCTTGGAAGCATGAAAAAAAAATCAATAGGCCGCTGATTAGCAAACTCCAACTTCTCTCTTCGTAGAACCTCGGCATTGTTGTTATTATGATATTATTCTTCTGCCAACGAGGTTGTTAGGTGGAGAATTTTATTAGTGGCCTGACGTTTCGACGAGATCGTCTTCCTCAAAGGCCCAGTCCACCACCGCAAGAGCGGAACAGCGCCACTCCGGGTCAGTTATGGTTAGTAACTCAGAGTTACTTCAGGGCTTTGAGGAAGACGATCTCGTCGAAACGTCAGGCCACTAATAAAATTCTCCACCTAACAACCTCGTTGGCAGAAGAATAATATCATAATAACATCAATGGGCCGTGTTTTTGGCTGCCTTGGTGGTACCCTTTTGTCAAGCCTGCAATGTCATGCCAGATTAAATGAAACAAAGCTTTTGGCAAGATCTGCTCTGATATGCTAGAACTGTAATATTTTCACAGCCACAACAATGATGCCATCATGCGACGAAGGACCACCTAAACGGGGTTCCCATTCGATCCTGTGTGAATCAGAACACAACATGGACCGGCCTACGGGAGTTGATGTCTAACTCGAAGAGCATCCTCAGATAGATTATCTCAATCCCAATCCATTATTAAAGCACATAATAAAGGTCGAGGTTGAAAAATGGGCTCTACCCATTCCTGTAAGAACAAGAGCCGAAAACACGAATTAAGAAGGTTGCAACGTTCTTTCGTACCTGTAAAAAACGTATGAAGACGAGGAAAGGGAAGACCCATTTTCGCTGCAAGAGGAATTAAGAAAAGTTGAGATGAATAGATACTATCCCAGCGGCAAGGAATGGGTATCTAAATTGAATATATTAGATAAACAAGAGAATTTGAATAGGTAACTAAGTGGATATATTTGGTTTTGGGGGGGCGGAAGTGGTGTAGTGGCAAGTGGCACGCTTACCACGCGAGCGGTCCGGGGATCAAATCCTGGGTCGTGAGTCGCCCGGGCCAACCAAGCCTTCCATCCCTCCGGGGTCGGTTAATTGGTACCAGACTTGTCTGGGAGGATAAAAACACTGACTTGTACATCGGCTGGCCCCCGCAAGTCATTGTATAGGCCACATCGCATTCAAACGCCACTACGAATGTACAAATGGAAGTAGAATGCGTGCCGCATCCCAAAAAGGGATTGATCAACGGCAAATGCTTTATCCTTTATCCTTTTTATTTGGTTTGCTTCTGTGCTAAGGCAATAAGGAGCTGAGCATGAAGAAGAGGGTTAAAGAGGGAGAGCACACGGGAGAAAGAGCTTTAGATTCTATCATGCGAGAAAAGACAAAAAGGTGGAAGCGGTCATGCAAAGTCCCAGCACACTTTTATCAGAGCCACGATAACGGGGCATCTGCGAACTACGTGGAGAGCCCCATCCTAACCGCCAAAGGGGTGTATCCACCTAAACTCATGAGTTGCGCCTTTAAGTTGTGCGTAGAATAGTAGTGTAAGTTATGATCATGATGTCTTACGAATAGCTAATGCTGCAACGATACCAATAAACGGGCGAAATATCGTTAATGGTGGATCCATTTATGTTCAACAAAATGGCTATTCACAGAACCCTCGTTTTTTCATCTTCGTTCCACTTCAGCAAAAGACAAAAAGAGCGAAAAATTCGATATCGTAAACATTCAGAAGTTTTTCCTTTTCATGATGTAGTTTGGCCAAGAAATCGTTTTCATCGCAGAGAAATTCTTCAGTTTGTGGAACTAGAAAGGCAAGTGAACTAAATAGAACGAAAATGGTGAGCTCTATTCGTTACAAGATTATAAGTTAAGGAACATAGGATGTATACCGTAACCCACGTTTGCGTCAGAGCGCGGTTGCAGGCTTTCCAGTGCACAATGCCAGCACTAGTGTGAGAGCGGTCAACGACGCCGCCCCTGCTGTTCGGGGCAGCGAACCCAAAAATGGAGCGACGTCGCAGCGTTCGCCTCGCCGCTTGCGCGACGAAGCCGAACACCGTCGCAGCGTTCGCCTCGCCGCTTGCGCGAGAGGCTGAACGCTGCGCGCGCGAGCACAGGGAGGTGATCCCCGGGGTGCCGCCCCATCCGACGTGTGGCGACAACCGCTCGCGTTGTGTCCTCCACCTTCTACATAAACGGCGCTTAGTACTCTGCGCGGGCCTGCTCGACGCATTCTCTCTTCGTTGAGAGGGTGCAGAGAAGACGAGAAAATCGATGACACGTGAGAATGCGCGCCCCAGTGCAACGTCGAGAAGGTTACGGTATACACCCTATGTTCCTGAACTTATAATCTTGTCTATTCCGTTCGCTTATTAATCATCGTTGACGTCATCGTGCCTGTTTTGTGGCTTTTGGCACCTCGTGGAGGTCCATCTCTGCGTTGCGCAATTCCAAACTTTACGCACACCCCCCCTTCTCCTTTTTCAAGAGGGTATCTGGGTATTAACCTCCTCCGTATTATAATCTATTATTTATTTCATTAGTTTATCTCATCATTGATGTGTGGACAGTGACCAAGATAGAGGATGTGGTGACTCGTTGTCAATCTTCGCCGCGCCCTCGTGTTTGTCGCTTTGGTGTCATGATGTTAATCCATATAGGCTATTATGAAACTAGAGAAGATTGTATGCAGCTTTCAAATAAGGGTCACTGCTGACTTTTCCAACGATCCTCTCTCAAAAAATAGTCACCGTTGTTCCGTTTTTGGGGGTTTGTGATCCGATTTTTGAGAAGGCGCGAGTTTTCGACATTAAAACGTTCATAACTTTCTTCATAATCAACTTTTTGCAGATGTCTAAGGCTAATTAGAAACTAGAAGATTAGAGCTTCCGAATAAGTGCTAAAACTTCTTGAAATAATCACTCGCTCAAAAAATAGTCCCGTTGTTCCGTTTTTTCCACCTTGATTTTTTTCAAGCCATTTTCCTGGACCGCGACTATGCAGTCTTCAAAGGCCCATAACTTCCTTCAAAATTAATGTGATGAGAAGCGGTAAAGATGTTGGAATCCACTCGAAGAGTACTTCATAACAGTGTGAAATTTTCCTGAAATTCTTTCTTCTGCCTCAATTTTCCTAAGGGGT